AAGAAAATTTTAATTCCACCCATTTAAAGAATTATAGGTCATTATAGGTCACCTTCTCTCACTGTTGGAAATTTAAATTCTGTTATATGACTTAATACATCCAATGTATTAACATCCAATTCTAACAATTCGTCAGGTCGCTTCTGGACTCAGCCAACTATTTTACTCTAATCTAATGTATTTGTTGACTTTGCAAGGATTAGTAGAGATGCACTATATCATAGGGTACAATATACTTTGGAATCTGATTCAAGTAGGTACTGTAATGTGCCAAAACATGCAGCAACTGACAAGAGCCTCATAAAAGTAATGTTAGATTGGTTTGATCTTACTAAGGAAGGGAAAGTGTCAAGACTTGGGAAATTAAAAAGAATCTCATTTCTGTGGAAAGCAAAACATAAAACTAAGTTCTGTGTGAAAATGGAGTAGAAGAGGAAGGAAAATACCTCAGAAGTGTGTCCAAATTAGGTGTGCACCAATAGAGATTTTGGGGGCTGATACTGATAGCCAGTATTTAAGGAGGTATAGCAGCCGATACCAATTCAATTTCCAATACCAGCTGTGTGGAGCTGGTAAGTTTGTTGTGGTGGAAGGGGAGGGGGGGGAGGGAGGCAGATCAACACCCCCCACAGTGATGGAGGGAGGGGGCAGGGACAGGTGCTACCCAGCTGGGGTGGGGCAGAGCTGCAGCTTGTCGGGGAGGCTACGATGAAATTTGGGGTGTCTGTAACAACCTCCATAGCCCCCTCCCAGCCTGCCCCAAGCTGAGTCCCTGCCAAGAAGAGCCCGGCACAGCTCCAGCTCCACTCGTGCAGATCCAAGGGTGCACGTCCCCCTCGTGTCCTCCTGGGGTGCATGCAGTTGTGGGAGCTGCCCGCCCCCCCCCCCCCACGCTCTGTCCTGTGTCCATTCCTCCCTGGCTGGGCAGCACTTGCCCCTGACCCTCCCTCCCTCACTGCAGGGGGCATTGATCTGCACCCCCCATGCCTCTACCACCACAACAGACTTACCAGCTGTGCACTGCTCCGCACTGCCTGCCTGCTGCACTGCAGCTGTGCGCATGCATGGGCATTTATTGGCCAAATTATTGACCACTTCAGGCTGATTGCCAATGCAGCAAATTTTCTTTATATTGGTACCGATTCGATATCGGACCAATGTATCGGTGCACCTCTAGTCCAAATAAATTTGGGTAAGCTCCTGACCATTTTAGAGTTTATTCAAATAGGACATCTCAAAAAAAGAAGGAAAAAAGTTGTATATTAGCCCTCAAGAGCAGCATCTGTAGTAATGAGGACTGATCTGAGATACCAGGAGAGTAGCAAGTGTACTGCAAGGACAACAGTCACTATTTTAATTACTCACGTACAATCTGGCATCCCACTGTCATAAATAACTAGTACAGGGACTAGCAAAGTGTACTGGTAACTGAAGGCAGTGAATAGACCTTTGCTCTACTAGAGTGGGTGGCCCTCTCCTAGCCTTCTATGTATAGCCAGGCAAAGGGATAATTAGTAACCAAAGAAGCGCTAAACAGACAGACCTTGTACTAGGTGTAGGACAGTTACCCAAGCTCTAGAGGTAAGTAGCAGGAGACCAAAATAAATCTTTCCTTTCCTTAAAGTGGGGTGTGATGAAAGGAGGTTCCTAACCCAGGCACTTGAATTACACAAAATACACCATTTAGCTCTCCCCTGCATCTTATTTCTAGAGGTCTAAAAATGTTCTTGAACTATGAGGATCAACAGTTCACTTCCATGCACCTATGGCAATTAGGAAAGAGGCTACAGCAATACAATGACTCATTAACATACCAGAGTTTTGCAACGTTTACAGTGCAGTTAAATAATACACTTGATCTTAGCTAAAAGGATGAGAAACTCCCCAATCTGCCAAACGCCATATGCAGAGGCTCCCTGTGCCACTTGTAGCACCTGTACTGCAGTTTGGCCACTCCTGCTAGAGACCATTCAAATCTAAACGACAAAGAGCTGAAGCAGAAACAGTCAATTCCCACTATTACAGAACTATACAAGTATAGTGACATTTTTTTTCTTTGAAGTTCCT